CGGCTAGTTTTGGCTGGCATGGCCGTCAATGGGTTAATAAAATATCTTAATATAAAATATTTGTGTGTGTTTAAACTGCCAAAAAAGGATGAAAACTGGTACGAGCCACCTGGTCTAAGACAAGAAGACGATAAAAAATTATACAAAAGTGGGGGTCGAATACGGCTGTTTAGGTGCTTTGGGCAATAACCGCGTGCAGCTCGAAATTAGCCAAACGAGCGCGATCATGACTGTGATGCCTGTAATATCGCACAAAACATTATTCTATTCTTTATCCACCTACGGGGTCAATTTAGATGAATTTATGTTTCTGAGCAACCAACCTCGGAATCAAAAAACCATATTCGGGTCGAGATGCGTCCTATACATCTAAAAGATTCTGTGTCTGTGTTTTAACATCGACAGACCTAAGTTAACTTATTTCTTAAAACCATTTAGTTATTTCTTGTAATTTTGTGATTAAAACCGACCGTTTTATCACAACAACTCACATATAATTGTATTGCTCCACTTAGCTTGGGCCGGTTGTGTTTGATAATACACATATTACACTTCAATTCTTGAAGGTGCTTGAGTCTCGAGGATTATAAATTAAGAAAAGTAAAATGGCTTCAAGTTAGCGGAACGTTCAATCGAGGCATCGGAGGTAAAATGGTAGCATACTATGGAACAAACACAGGGGGAAAAAAATTTGGTTCAACTAAGCGTGTGCTTCTAGTAACCAAGGGTTCGCCCGTTGTTGGGACTCTGGTAGTCCACTGTATCTTAGTTGATCCAGTCCAAGCGGAATGTTCGATCTCATATTTCGCGACGTTTCGCCGTGATGGTAGCTCCTTTGCGGTGCGAATAATAATTAGTTCTCTTCGCACTCGACGAGTGCTTTTGATATCAGCAGGACAAGGAAATAACTAGAAAATTATTGCCTAACAAGCCAATCAGATACTCCTACAGCATCAGGAATGTCATAACAGAGAAATAGCAATAAAGCTGCACACTCACCTAACAAAGGACTTAGATTTGGTTTAGATCTGAGTTTTCGTATACAGAAAACGCTGTGGTGTTTCAGTCACCGTCGAGATAAGCTTCGTTGGTTACAAGTTGTACTCCGTACTTGAGGCCACCGAATTTATCTGCTGTATGTCTTCCGGTAAACGAGCTTCTCGGTTCCTAAAAGATAAATTCACTGTTCTCAGGTTTTGCTTTCTGCCTCTCTCAAATGTATTTTTTTTATGTCATTCTCTTGCAGTCTTCGTCATGGACGTAGTGAGTTTGAAAAAATTGGGTTACCTTTTGAGCCTCTCTTCAAAGTATGAACTGCAATTTCAACATGCAGCACGTCAATGAACGGCCCAAACAGTTTCCAATCGATGGACAAAGAGAGGATTTAATTCCATGAGAATAAACTGATTGATCGCGCAACGTTACTAAATACTTTGCTTTTATGGGGGGTTTCTCCCAGGTTTTAATTTGTGCAAATTCTGACCAAAAATCTGTGCAAATCGAAAGACCGTGAAGACTTTGATTTGATTTTGACAGGCCATTTGCTTATTCACCAATGGCATGCGACTTGAAACCGCA